TTCTTGTCAAAGAAACAGTGAATCCAACAGGTCATGAAGACTGAATAACCTTTTGTCACTAGAGATATGGTCTCTTCAGGTCGAAGTGTTTGTGACATGTTGGCAGGCTTGTGCAGAAGAACCCACATACTGCTTAAACTGGAGAAAAGCAAGACCTTCTGCTTTCACGATGAAGTTTCCTATACAAAATACTGCATTAACTAACTTCCAGGAAAGGATAAAAATACACGTAAAATTTCACTGCCTAGATAGTCTTCTAAACTTTTGTAATGCAAAACTAACCTGTTTAAAATTCAGGCAACTTATTGTAAGTTTAAACAACATATAATTTTTTCATTCAAATAAAATAGTTTTTACCATTCAGCTTTTCCCACTGAAGTTTTACAGAAATGTAAACAATTGGGAGAAGCCTCTGTGTAAGGAACTGAAACCTGTTTGGTTGTCAAGGTGACAAACTAGTTTCTGATGGCCATAACCATTCCTGTGGGTAAAAGAAAGGATCTTTCTTTGCTTCAGTTTATTCAGTTCACTTTTATGACTGAGCTCATTTAGAGTTAAGGAAAGGAAAGCAATAAAAGCTAGTATTTAAAAATTAAGGTGTCTTGCTTCCTGTTTGCTTGTAATGATTAACGGTTCTTTAGTAAAATAGCTAAAATATATACTCCTTCAAATGTGGTTCATGTAAGACTTTTTGCGTTTTGGTGGTGGTGTTTTTTGGTTTTTGTTGGGGGTTTTTTTGTTGGTTTTTTTTGGTTTTTTGTTTGTTTTTTTTTTTACATCTTCAACAGTTATTAAAATAACTTTGCCTTACACCAGTCTGCTCTACAGGCTGCCCTGTAAATTTACAAGAATAAGCCAGGGCAATGATCCCGTATGTACAGACAAGAAAAATAGTGGCTTTTTACAGCCTGGACCCATTTGTACCTTGGGTTTTTTTGTTTCTTTCTAGGTGAGGAATGTTAATCTTGTTTTCTAAAGCAGTATATGCTGATTTTAAAAAGTAGAATTATCCTCAGTTCGTCTTATGTGTGTGAGTTCCCTAAAGGGTGAAAAAATGAAAATCTGAGTGCAACAAGCTAACATCCAGGTCTTTGCTTGGATAATTGTTCTTAATATATTAAAAATGTATCAAAATAGTCCTTGATTTTTTTTGCTTCTATAAGGATAAGGTGATCTTGTTTATTGCATCATCATAATCATTATTATTACTATTTATTATTATTGCTGCATAAATTTAAACTGTTATGCATGTTAGATTTTGAGATTTGTAGGTAGAAATATTTTTCAGGTCTTGTTAGAAACACAGGAGATGGTTGTATTTGAGCTAAAAATCTTATATTTCCAATTGGTATTTAAATGTTGTGTGTCGCATTATACAAAATTAGAGGAGAGTCTTGCTTACTGTGTGGTAAAAGCCCATTTGCCATGCTTCCTGATAGTAAGAAGTACCTTAAAAAAAGAAAACGGAAAAAAATGTATCTTGAAAGTCTGACTTCAACCTCATACTCCTCACAAAATGTCCTGGATTTGATTTCCTAAATGCAGTAATCTTAGAGAGATGTTTAGTGTGCTCTCAGGGTGTGAAATTTCCTGCTGTATATTTATTGAATCAAAGTGGTTAGGGGAATTTGAAAATAGCTTATAAGGTAGTGAAATAGCACTGTTCCTTAAATGTTTTTAATATTGACTGCTTAATTGGGTTTAACATCTGATGTCTCAAGAGAGAGATTTGCCTAATCTGCATTCATTTGGGAAGAATTTCCCTCTAAGGACATTTTACATTGTGTCCATTGTGGTGGATTTATCCACTTCTGTGATTCATCGGTACTGGTGTTCCAACAGAGACAGGGACTGTGAAGTAGATGACACATTAATTCTAACATAGGATAGAGGTTCAATTAAGGTCACTTTACCTTGTCACTTGTAAGATATGTGTTTGGCCAAACTCTGCATGTGCACTTTGCCTTTCAAAAACGGTAAGTTCTATTTGCAGGTGTTCAGGCTGCTGCTCCTTAACGTTTGGGAGCCGTGCAGGGTATTTCACCATGCTAAGAGGAATGGATTTTTTTTGTATTTGAGTAGGCAAATGTCGAGGAAAAGTGAAGTGAGCAGCGAGTCATGCCCTTGGTTCAGTAGGTGGCACTCTTTCTCTGAAATTACTGTCCCGGTAAAGTATTTGTAGGAACGGTTTGGTGAGAGTGACATAAAATACATTTCGAGAACTTGATCGTTGGAGCTCTTATAATGCATTTTCCAGGGTTATGAGGTTGTTAACCTTGCTTGTAATGCGTAATTGCATTTTGTCTACTGCAATTCCTCTCCTAATTCCAGCAGGATGCAGTAGCATTCTGCACTTGTTGCCTTAAGCTGATTTATAGATGTGCTGTGGAAAGAGAAGCTGCTGTTTTGTCAGAGATGGATTAAGTGTTTCATACTATTTTTAGAGTCTTTGCACTAAGTCTATGTAAAATGTTGCAGTAGAAATGTTAAAATGAAGCGGCTCTCCAGCAGTGCCTATTGTGGGAAACTAGTACTGCTGACAAAAGCAAGAAGTTGGCAGCAATTTTAAAAGTGTGATAGGAGTTTAATAAAAAGAATTAGCACATGTATAGTGTTCTTTGAAAATGTGTTTTTGTTTTCTGAATATTTAAAATATATTCCTTTTAGGAGGTAGGCAGGGGTAAGAATGCTGAATTGGCAAGCTGTTTTAAACTTGACTGTAATTAAGGTTGAAATGCCAAAAAAATAAATGTCTCTTTTTAAAAAAATAAGAAGGTGTAAAAATACTGGCTTGAAAAAAATAACTTTACATTTTTCCAGGCAACCCATATAAATGCTGAGCAGTGTCTTGGGAAGATGTATTTATCTAGTAAGGCGTAATCTTTCTTTTGTAAAATCTTTCTGTTGTGAAATATAACAAGGTTTTCTCTAAGTTAAAGACATTTGGCCATGTTTATGAGTTTTTTTTCAAATATTTCCATTCCTCATTTTTCTCTCATTGTGATGAAATCAACAGTTAAAAACCACAACTCTACAATAGTAGGGGTTTAAATAGATATCTTAAATTTTGTGACATTCATGAGGTGCAAAAGTGCTGTGGCTTTTTTCATATTCCAACACTCATTTTCATAAAATGTCCATTTCAAAGAAAGTTACTGTGTGGTTTTAATACACTACATATGTTTAAATTATCACCAGGTGCATTTGCATGAGGTATGTGGACATAATGTCTTGAAATGAAACACTTAACTGTGTTGAAGATTTACTGTATGTTTGGAATGCTTGTCTGATTAACCCTTCCCTAATCCTTTTATTTATGAGTGTCCTTTAACGTGGGCTTGTGTTTTTATAGTCTTTCTTGCACTGTTAAGTCACAATGACCTAATTATGACAGATACACAAAAGGAAAGCATCTATGTTGGGACTCAATGCACACGTTTTTAATTACATAGAATACGAAGGTTGATAGTGTTATGCCAATACTTGCTGTGTAGGACATTAAGTAGTTACTGTATGTGACAGTCAACTCTAAAAATGGGGAGCTACCTTTTTTCAAGTAGAATATTTTTAAATCTTGTTACTGGTCAGTTCAGAGACTGAAACAGTTAAGATCTTAATGTGAGGAGCTGTATGAAAGTAACTTGAGGATACCTTTCATGCTGACTAGCATGAGGAGACAAGTTTGCCTAGGTCCAAAGATGAAATAGAAGGACTTCCATTTATGGCATTTCTGGTTATACTCTGTTGGAGGGGAGGGAATCCATATGGAAAAAGCAGGCAGAAAGGTATTTGGTGGCACTTACTGGGCATTCATCTGTAACAAGGTAGTTTATGCACATTTTGTATACTTAACGTTATTCGATTCTGATTTTAGATTCACATCAGAATGTCTTCCTTGTGAATACACTTGACCCTAGTGGGCCTAGAGCGGTTAATTCCAAATAGAATGAACCCCTGTATTTAGGATGCACATAAGAAAGCGTACATAATGATGTGTAACTATGTCTAGGTGTACTCTGGCAGTTTCATCTTCCTACATAATCCCTATCTGATTGAGTTAGTTGTACATCTTTAAAAATGCAGTTTGCATTAGAAACAGAGCCTGTTAAGTTAATGCAACTTTCTGCTGACAGTCTGCTTGGCATTCCATTTACTTACCTTCATTAGTTTATATTGGCTAAAAATACATTGTTGAATGTAGTATGTTTGACTTTCAAGCAAAAGCTGATTTCTGTATTAAAACTCTTAAGCTGAACAGTAGTTTAATTTTTATCATCCAATTAAGTTGTTTTATGGCAATGTTATTCTTCCTTATAGTTAACACAAGAAGAGTGTAGGGGTACACTATACAAATATAGAACTGAAGAGCTGGATATTGATGTAAGTCACTTGTATTTCTTCATTGGAAATGTTGGTATTTGTCTCTAAATTTTGTTAATAATTTCCCCCTTGACTTTTGGGTTTGAAACACACTTCACACAGGTGATTGCCAACAGAAATTGCTTTGTGAGATTGAGGGGCATAAGACTCTTTGTAATAAGCTTCTAACTCACAGGAAGTATTACATTTTAGGCTGAAATTTCAAGTAGTGTATCTGTTCAAAGATGAATTGTTTCTCAAGAGGAATTAATTACTTTGGAAGGGGAAAACTCTGTAGTTGTAGTTCAGTTATAAGCATGAGAGATGTAATTTCTCAAGAAATACGACCGATACTCCAAAACTGAAATTTGGCATGGGTAGTTATCATTCAGAGTATTGGGTTGCTAGTTACTAAAGAAAAGTGCTTGGTGTGAAGTTGATGCTGAAAAATACACGCATATAGTCATACTGTATATGCATACATATGCACATCTAGTCATTCTTGCACAATGCAACTAAAAGTAGGCATAACGATTTAAGGGATGTTACTTTTAAGAGTAGAAAAGAAAGCAGGCTTCCAGTGTTATCAAAGAGCTAAAAACTCAGAGCAGCACAAACTGAACGACAAACGTTGTTCAAATATAAAAGTAAACTGTTTCAAATTGCTGAGAATGTACTGAACAGTTATTTGCTCAACCTGGAGCTGAAGTGGAACAGTTTTAGTCACAGCCAAGCCTTGATTGGGGCTGAAACTGATCAGCACAGCGTGGGTAGTACTAGTGGCTAGCTATTAAAAAATACCACCTGAAATAAACATGGGAAAGACTGTGATTGTGTACAATATTGTATATAATACTGAGGAATATGTAAATTATAATTGTATTTAATACCTATTATTAAGTTGTAAAGTTTTAGCTGTAGAATCGTAAATTACCTGTTTTGAGCCGTCTGTTTCAAGTTATGATAACACTTACTTCATAGTATCTTAAGAGGGTTTCTTAAGGTTAGGTTGAAAATGCAAGACTGATGCCTTCCTAATTTTAGAATTCATATGTTGTGGTAGTAACATTTTATTTAGATTCACGTAATGATTTGACCAAGTTATATTTTGATTACTGAAGATGTTAAGAATGAAATCCTAATTCTGATAACTTTCTGTTTTATACTAGGCTAAGCTTAGCCGTTTATGTGAACAAGATAAAGTTGTGCAAGCACTGGAGGAGAAGCTTCAACAGCTACACAAGGAGAAAGTAGGACAATTGTATTTATTACCTAAAGTGGATGTTATTTTACGTGCTTATTATCAGAACATTGATAACTGAAATAAAACAAAAATCAGCCCAATGATGCAGAACATTAAAAATAATTCTTTTTATTACAATAGTACACGCTTGAGCAAGCTTTGCTATCAGCAAGTCAGGAGATAGAAATGAATGCAGATAATCCCTCAGCCATACAAAATGTAGTCTTACAGAGAGATGACTTGCAGAACGGACTACTTAGCACTTGTCGAGAAGTATCGCGAGCTACTGCAGTAAGTAATACGTTCTTGTCAGTAAAACTCAATGAAGTGTTAAATGATTGTCTTCGTATTCTTAATTGGGTTGTCTTTGGTTATTTTTCATTATGTTCCAACAAAAGTCAGTTGTCTTTTGTGTTTCTGTCAGAGGCAGCTGGAAAGTGATCTTATCAATATATTAATTGAATAGTCTTTCTTTAATTTTTTTTTTGACAGAAATAAATAAGGGCATGCAGACTTTAATTGGTGTGGTAATTTTAATCTTTATAATATGAAAAATTGATTACAGAAGTAGTAAATAATGCAAATAAGCTATTTTATGTGATGGCAAAATAGTAGCAAGCACAAACTTTATCAGGTATTTGATCAGATAGGTGACTTATTGTAAGTAAAAAGCAGCTGCAGGATAAAAAGAAGAAAAGATTATACTGTCATGGTCACTTTTAATAGTGGGCCATTATATTTAAAAAAAATCTTTCAAGTGAATGCAATTTCATAAACCTTAATTAAAAAAAAAAAAAAAAAAGGAAAGGAAGGGAATTGCTATTTACTGTCCTTTTCCACTTCATGATGGTTTCTGCACTAGGCAAAGAATCATATTTGCCTACTTGCATATATATCCAAAAAGGTATTTCAGTGTCAAATTCCAGTGGTTTGCTGTGATGAATTGATATGAAGTAGGCCCTGAAATACTGGTTTTAGTCTGAGTGTTAGACTATGTTGTAAAAGGAATTGGTTGGACAGAGAAAAAGGAATCAGGGGAAAGGAAATCCTGAAGATATACTTTCCCTCATTAACTTTTTAATTTATGCTAAATTGAGTAAGTTGCTTGATGTCGGCTTAAAAAGTGAGATGGCAGAGCTGACCTCAAAGATTTTCTTTTTGTACCGTCTGCCTTCTGGTGTTTGCAGTTTCACATATGTAAAATCATGGTGTGTTAGCAGGCCTGGGGCATTCACTGGTAGCCTTACAGGCAGGGTTGGATGACTTACATCCAACTTTGTCTTGCATAATTCATTGCATATACAGGTACGTGCTGTGCACTCACACGTGTGTATTTTGTGTGATAAAAGACACAAATTTGAATCCATTTCTGTGGGTTTTCTGCCTTTGTGGAAGGACAGCTTAAGACCCACGTGCCTGCTGACTATAAAGACGTATTCTGAAGATTTTGCCCTTGCCTATCTTTTCTGTTTGTGAAAAGACAAAATGCTGTTTGAATTCCATTCGATATCATTAGAAAATCAAAAAGCTGTTTAAACATTGCATTCTCTAAAATACATGTTTGTTTATTGCTGATACCTACTTCTGCATTGCTTCCTGAAGTTTCATGCCACTGAATAAGGAAAATTTATTTTTTTTTTTTTAACTTGAATGTACATCTGTAATTCTTTTGCATTATATACTTAGGAACTGGAAAGAGCTTGGAGAGAATATGATAAATTGGAGTATGATGTAACTGTAACCAGGAACCACATGCAGGAGCAACTCGATCGGCTTGGAGAAATTCAGGTGTGGCATAGGTCTTAAAGTACGCTTAAGTCACTTTCATTTTCTATGGTTTTGTTTAAAAACTACACAAATGAAAAAAGGAGGACATGTGGTGCATTAATTTACAAGGTATAAATAGAAATTAAAAGTTTGTCCGTTCTGAGGAGGTCTTCAGCTTTTCCTATTTTTTTGAAACTACAGCACTGGTTTTCCTGTGTCTGGAAGCTGCCTCTTTCTCTTTCAGCGAGGGGGTCCAAAACGGGGTAGTTTTCTCAGACCTTAATTGCAATGACAGTCGTACTAAATCTTCACACAAATCCTTCCCTTTAACTGAATATTTTAAAAAGTAATTAAATCATTCTATCAAAAGAAATTATAATTAAAAATATTCTAGGCGTTGCTTCAGGTCTTACATATGAGGAGTTCTGACGTGTATCTTATTACCTTACTGTGCTGTGGAGGATTGGACAGTTAGTGTAAATTCTGAATTTCTAAGGAGATTTTTCCATCACACACACGGAGATGTGCATACATTATCTGGAATAGGCAGATGGGTGTGGTTCACGCTGGGAGGCATTAAAGACTGTTTGCTCCAGGGACTGATTTTCTATGCAGCTATGAAAGGGAGATTACAAGGAAGCCCAAGAGCTGAGAAATTTGTGTTATGCAGTCCAAAGCATGCATGACCATGGATGCAAATAAGTCTACAGTTTTTATGCTAGTATGCAAACACCATGTTCATCTCCACCTATTTTAGGGTTGGATCTGATGACTCCTTTTCTTTTTGTTGGACGTAGGTCTCCTGTGCAAAGTTTGCTTGGATTTTTTTTTTGGAGACAGTAGATAAAATTTTATTCTTAAGTAGAGTTTGAACCAGCAAATTGCTGTCATAAATTAACTGACACATTATGAAATTAGTTAATCTTATGCTTTTTGTTTCTGACAAAATTTGAATGTTGCACTTTATGGGGCAGGAGAATGTCTGTCATTACTGCACTTTGTTTTCCTTCACTGGGAAAGGATATGCACTGTAGTCTAAAGAAAGAAAAAGGTTTTCTATTTTATTCCGCTTGCAATGTACTCCAATTTATTGCCTATATGTGCTGTTTATTTACTGGCAGACTGAGTCAGCAGGGATACATCGTGCTCAGATTCAGAAGGAACTGTGGAGAATTCAAGATGTCATGGAGGGTTTAAGTAAACATAAACAGCAAAGAAGTGCTTCGGAGGCAGGTAAACTGATTGTTTTTATCTCGTAGGAAGTGGGACTGGATCGTATATATTTTTAAAGGATAAGCTCCATAGTTGCTTTTGTATGTTTGAAAAAATTATACAATTGCTGAGAAAAGAAGAAAGCAGTCATCTGTTTCAAGTTGATGCTTTGTGCATTTGATAGCAACAGGTTATAGTTCCTATTTTAAAAGCTGTTTATTGAAAACAATTTTTCTCTTTCTTTCTACGCCTTTCCCCCTCCCCTCAAACAGGCATCATGGGATCAAGGACATTTTCAGCTATTAAATATAAAAATGAGGTATGGTTTTAGCATATTTACCATTTTAGCATCACTGAATTTCTAATATAACTATGATAAAAATGAACATTATTATAATTGGCTTAGGGATATCTGAAGTATGTATTCAGTATGTTTCTGTGAAAATAATGCATTATGAATTAGTTTTAAAGACTGATATCTCCACTAGTAATTCTAACATTTTGATTTGTTCTGTGTCTTTATAGTCTCACCAGTATGTTTCTATTTTCCATTTCTCACCTTTTCCTCTCCCTAGCCTCTTACTCTAAAATGTATACCCTGATTTATGGATTTGTTTTCTACCCACCGCACTTTTCATGGGAAGAAATACATTGCTTTATATGTCTATTCATGTATTGAGCCTGGTTCTCAGATGGGCAGAGCACCCACAAGAACAACTGAAACTGTGGGAGCTCCCGAATGTTCATTTCCTCTGAAAATCTGGCTAGAAGTTACAGTTTTAAAGGGACATTGTCATGGTTACCTAAAGTGTAAGCAGTATACATCTGTCTTGCTTTCTAAACTTTATAAAAGTCTTAATTTATGTAAAAATCTTTTAAAAGATACTGAATTTAATTTTTAAAAGGATGATTCAGAGAGTTCATACATGTCCAACGGAAAGTGCAGGTGTTAGAATTGAAAATCTTGGTAAGCTGAATAATGAAAATGTTGAAGTGTTTGAGTCTAAATGGTAGTAATAAAACAAAATGCAAACTAATGAACAAAAAAATCCCCAAAGAAACACAGAGAAAATAAAGTTCTCTTGGCTTTTTTTTTTTTTTTTTAGCGTGACATTGTCCCTTTAATTCCACAATCTGTAGCTGGTGTAGCTATGGTAATATATTTTTCTTTTTAAGTTATAAACAGTTCTAACAGGTGTGCACATCTAAATAAGGTGACTATTCTACAATCTTTAGGAAGAGGAAGTAGTCCCACCTCGTCCTCCACTCCCTCGGTCCTATGACTTTACAGAGCATCCTCCCATAATCCCCCCTCTGCCCAGTGATAGCAGCTCCTTGCTCTGTTATAGCAGGGGCCCAGTACATCTGCCAGAAGAAAAGAAGATTCACCAAGTTCAAGGATATCAGAGAAATGGATCTTACTGTGTAAGTGGCTTAAGCTGCCACATTGTTCGTGAAGCATCCCCCTTCCTTTGCGCAGTCACAGTTTTTTTTGGTCATCTGGCTACTTTTGTGTTACGTTTTTACTTTTGTTTACTTTATAGCTCCATCATTTGCTCTTCACATTTCCCTGTCATATATTCTGCACATATACAAAATGTTTTAATATTTGAATGCTTATATCTGAGTAAATTTCAGAAAATTAGATTATTCTACTCACAAGTTCTTAAAATGCTAGGCTCAGATTCAGTTTTTGCTGAAGGTTTATATAAATTTGTCTCCTGAATATCAATTAAATGAAGGGGGGCGGGAAGCCCTCCACATTTTTATGGCAATTTTTTTTCTGTAATTTCTGAAAGCCTGCAAATGTACTTACTCAAATTAACTACAAAGAAATACTGCAGCAATAGCACTTGAACAATGAAACGTTGTCTTGAAGTGAGAGCGGAGCCGTCACAGAATGTTTTGAGTCTTAAGACATAAATGCTTGTACAAAAATGCCTCTTTATTTACCTCGTGACTTCTTGTTCCTCAGGGTCCTGATTATAGACTTTATAAGAGCGAACCGGAGTTAACTACAGTAGCAGAAGTGGATGAGTCTAATGGCGAAGAAAAAACAGAACAGATTTCAGAATCAGAATCTACTGTTAAAGGTTTGTGCCCAGGCGTGGTGTTTACAACCTTTCAGCCTTTTTCACAAGGAATACAAAGCTTTAACTGTGTTATAGAAGCTGTATCTTTTGTATTTTTGTAGCCTGTCCATTTCTTAATATGATGAACAGCTTCCACTATAAAATAATGATTTAATTATATGACAAGAAAGATTTCAGTCAATTACACCGCAGAAAAATCAAACATTACACTCACCAACAACCCTGAAATCCTTATTGACACCATGTCTAATCACATCACTCACATTCCCCACACACCATTCCCTTGAACAATTACCCATTTTATGTTCTTGCCCTTGAACAATTATTCAGTTTTTGAATCAAGCTCCCGATGTTATGTCACTGGAACGTCCAAAAAGGCAGCACCACAGAATTTTCAGGCTCTCATAAGGCAGGGAAACAATGTCTTTTTCTTTTTTTAATCTTGTAATTGTTGAATTGCCTTCTGTCCTCTGATATAATAGGAATAATGATCATGACCTTGGAGTGTACAGACAATAAAGGTCTTTGCAATTGCTAAATGCTTTAGATTCTTCTCTTCATCTAGCTTCCATAAAAGCTACTAATTGCTTGCTAGAGTCTTTTACCAGGAAGTGCTTCTCAATTCTGTTTGTTAAAACACACAGAATAGTTTGTTAAAGGTGACTTCGGGAAAAGCAGCTTGAGCACCTCCCAAAAACCATATTAAGAGCTTTTAGAAAAAGTAGCTAAACCTACCCATTTTTTTACCGTAACAGTTGATGTTTGCAGAGCCAGCAAGATCACTGTCTTCTGTTCTGGTAGTTTGACTAAGCATGTATGTAGCAGGCTGGTGCAACAGTACCAGAATTTGACCAAGAACTATGATCATGTAAGGATATTATTTTAAACAGAACGGTAGTGGAAGTTTTTTAAACTAAGGTTTAGCATACCTTTTGGGTGTAAACAATGTGAACAGCCCTATGATATATGATACAATTAAGCTTGCACTTACCAGACAATTAGTCATTCAGATTCACTGTGGTATTTGCTGAGGTATAATGTTCACTAGATGTTAATTTTCTTTTAACTTGGTGGCGAAAAATGCAAGGTTTAGCCTGAGGTTTGCTGATTATCAACAACCAAAATTGAGGAAGTTGCCTTTCTGACAACATGCCTTGGTTTTGTTGACCTGTGGCGATCCAGATTATGTATAGTAATTTATGACAAGAGGGAAAATAATTATCAAGACAATATAAGAAAGCTTACACTGACTATATAAAGCAAACCAATACTTGTTGAGCACCCCAATCTGCTTTGTATCTTCTGTAAAGACAGGAGTAATTTTATTATGTCCATTTGTAGAAAAACAGTCCTCAGTAAGGGAAAGCAATAATACAAATTCTTCTAATCTAAATATTATTTAGGGGCAGGGTAGAGAATGACTGCAGTGGTAGCAAGCAAGCAGTGAGAGCCTTTTCATCTTCTTAAACAAGAGAGCGAAGTGAGTTTATCGTAGCTGTGTTTTATCATCCCGTCCACACTTTTGAGCATGTGAATTTTCTAACAAGATATTTCTTGTTCTGGGCATTCAGTTACAGTAACAGTCCCCATGCAGTAGGAAAAATACAACCATTCCTGGTTGTTTAGTTTCCTTATTGTGTGTATGCCGTTGCAGCTATATGCTGTTTCAACACATTTTTATGCAATTCTATCTTAACAGTTTCTAAGCTGAAAAGAAACAAACTCAAAGGCAGCTCATCTCTCTTGCTGTTTTAAGAAGTCATACTTAAATGACATTGTTTCCTATTGAGGGTGGTTCTAAAATTAGTAAATTTCAGAGGAAACTTAAAAATGTTTTTCTAGTTAGTTGTGCACCTTACTGTACTAGACGCTTCTCATGTCAGCCATTTCCCTCTCTTTTCAAACATCAGCAAAGAGAATGTTTTAATGGGGCTATGTAAAGTAACCCTTACAGCTGTCTGCAAGCAGAGGAAATTTACAACCCGAGTCATAAATATAAAGGTGATACAGAAGGAAAATGGACTTCTGCAGTGTTTTATCCTTTTTATGTCTAAAGGAGACCCAAACTGTTGCTTTATAGGTTTTGTTTTGAATGATGGATTTTGCATTCAAATACCTCCAGACTGTTTTGTCAGTCTGTTAAACAATTTGGAGAAAGATTTGAGCCTTCACTGGGTCAATATATTCTCTAAAATCTGTACAACCTCAGGAAAAACAAGGAGAAATAATTTGGCTAGCAAATACAACATTATATCTATTTTTTTAGGCAAAATCAGCAAGGAAACTATTTTTAATAGTTTGATTTCCTCCATGTATCAAGAAGCAAAAATAAGCACATGTAACCAGTGGTGGATATGGTTACAAGTGGACATCAGGACACAGAATATCCTCAGCTCCTGACCAGACGGAGCCTGGCTGCTGCGGTTCCATATCCCTAAGTACAGTGAGCTACAAGGCTGAGGACATAGTCCCACTGTGCACAAGCACAGCCACAGCTAACCATGGCAGATAACTCAAGGAGGTTTGAGAGTGGTGCTATTCCAGGCACCACAGAAACAAGACCAGCACTCGCATGAAAGTGGAACACCCCAAATAGCATGATCCTGTTCTCACTCGCCAGCTAACCAGGCTCAAAGTGTGCTCCCTGATCTCATGCGCATACAGACGTGAGCACACACGCGTGCATACGCACAAACAAGTCCCTCCAAGAGCTGGCCAGACCTATGGTGTCTTCATCTGTGAACTCTCAGTACCTCTGACCTCTCCAGTATCTGAATCCTAGACCTAAGGTCTGTTGGACAGCTGGCTCCCGCACCTTGTATTCTCCTTGCCATCTAGTCTTCTCCTGAGTTCGTTAGCATCTCACAGACAGAAGGCTTCCCCCCCGGTAGCAGGCCAGACCTATGGTCCCTCCAGTAGCCAACCTGCAGACCTGCAGTCTTTCCTGTCTTTGGCCCCCAGACCTATGATCTCTCTGTAGCTACCTCCTACTCTCAGGGTAGCCTGGTGTGAACATCACTAGCATCTCCTGTGCTCTCGTACACAGAAGGGAAAGCATACTCACGTGGAAAATACTTAAGCTTAACGAGAAGATAGGACACACTGCCGTGCTAAGGCATGGGGTTTGGTCAGACGAGCATACTGGCAAAGCTGGTCCCTTTTATTCCCCACCTCCTCTCTCTTTTTCCGTACTTGTTTGTTCCTGTCTGCCTTGCTTCATCCCTTCACAGCCTTTGTTTCCTCCCAAATAAACAACCCACCCATAGTTACTTTTGGTTTATTGGTCCCACTTTTGCTAAATTTTCCTTCTTTGACACCGTTATCTAGGTAAGCTTGGCCGTAACTGGTAGCACTGGTGTGGCTACCTAGACACTGCTGGCCTTGTAAACTCTGTTCCACAAAAACTCCCCAGTATGGCTGTCCAATTAGCTGTGAAGTTTGGCTGTTTTTCAGGTAATCCCCCCTCAACCATCTGTGAAATTTAGCCATTCCATAAAGTGCTGTCTAACTTCTGTCTGTTTCTCACAGACAAAGTTTTTATGTTTATATTTTTATGTCCAGCATTTTCTTGTGCCATGTGCAGTAGTTTCCATGTTCTCTTCAGTTAGCTGAACCTCAGGCCAGGGGCTTCCTGCATGCCTTAACAGATGTGATAGTTAAGCATAAAGATCTTCGTTGTCATTTGAAGAATAGTTTCCAAGGTGATAACATGTATCTTCTAGAAAACAGTAAACTGTTTTTGCAATGTTTTGCGTAGCACTTAGTGTATTGCTTTACTGTTTTGCAGGCTCACATTTTCCTGTGGGAGTTGTGCCACCCAGAACCAAATCGCCAACGCCAGAGTCTTCAACAATAGCATCCTATGTCACCTTGAGGAAGAATAAGAAGATAGATCTAAGAACGGTACTTTAACCTTTGAGCATTAGTGGGTAGTTATGTGTTAATTTCTAAGTTTAATTTCTGTAGTTACTTAAAAAGTTATAGTTACATTTTTAATTTTCTTTACATAAAATTCACTGGTATAAAAATATACTAGGTTCATGGAGACAGCTGTAGAAAGAATGACAACATTATAAAGGTCATGTATGTTAAACTGCACAGAGATTTCACTACACTCGAACTGGGCAAGAACTAAATGAAAATGATAAATCTACTAAGCTACTGAAGTTCACGCTTGAGTTGAAAGAACAGGAAGAATCTTTGGTTAAAACTTATGAAGGACTTGTACTTGGCAATGTAACAGCCCTTGTATAACAAATACTGGTTTTATTTATTTTATTACTAAAATTATTTGGGGGGAAAAACAAGCAGACAGAAAATAAGGATACGGTAAGCAATATGGAGGTAATAAGCCTGGAATTTCAGATTAGAATGTCCTCTAGTCTCTGGGTTGAAGACAGAGGTTTACAGGTAGTTCAGGCAAAAGGGGGAAAAGTTTTGCCATAGTTGTTAGATGAATAGAAAAGGAGAAGTTGTAGGAAAGAATAGGAGAAGAAAGAGAAATTCACAGGATGTTGGCTGGAGAAAGAATACCACTTTTGAGAAGTGAAATCAGTTACTGTGAATGTGCTGAATGCAGCTGATTAGCCAGAAGTAATTTTTTTTTTTTTTCTATCCTACCAAGTACAGAACTATCTGAAAATCAGTGAATTTCCAGAACAGAGTGGGTAAAGTGACGGTTATTATTTTGGGAATAATATAATGCTTAGGATTACAGATTTTTAAGTGATGATAAATTCATAGAATCATTTAGGTTGGAAAAGACCTGTAAGATCATCGAATCTAACCGCAAACCTAACACTGCCAAGTCCACCACTAAACCATGTCCCTAAGTGCTGCATCTACACATCTTTTAAACACCTCCAGGGATGGTGACTCAACCACTTCCCTGGGCAGCCTGTTCCAGTGTTTGACAGCCCTTTCAGTGAAGAAATATTTCCTAATATCAATCTAAACCTCCCCTGGTGCAACTTGAGGCCATTTCATTTTGTTTTAGCCTGCACTTGCCATTAAATAATGGCCAGCTGTAGTTTTTCATGAAATAAAAAGGCAGAAATCACTATTAGATCAACTGGTATAAATGTCCTGAATCATTAAATTTCGATTATGTTTCTGTCTCAGTCAAGTAACTTAGGTTTGCCCGTTGTGTAATGTCTGGTAAATTGTTTCAACTTGATAGGATGGCTTTGAGAGAGCACCTCCCCGTTATCTTAATGTTTATCTTTGGTGGTGGTAATGTCACTGTTCAAAAAAAGCAAATTATTCCTTTTATTTTGAATTTCAGTGTTCATTTATTAATAATTGGTTCTTGTACTTTCTTCACATACATAGGAGACCTTTACTTGCCCACTATTTTTCTGTTTTTCAGTAAATCATTAGGTGATCTTTTGTGATAAGCTAAACAGCTTAGACTCTTGCTTTTTTAAAACAAATACATATATTCTTCCATTTAAGGAAAGACCAAGAAGTGCAGTGGAGCAGCTGTGTCTTGCAGAAAGCACACGGCCTCGAATGACTGTGGAGGAACAGATGGAAAGAATAAAGAGACACCAACAAGCTTGCCTGAGAGAGAAGAGAAAAGGACTCAATATTATTGGTGTTTCAGACCAATCTCCTTCACAGAGTCTGTCATTTGTCAGAGATAATCCGTTCAAATTGGCACAGGTGGGACCTACATTACTGAAAAACTTTAATGTGCCCAATTACCAAAAAAAGTTACAAAATTGTTCTTTTTCCAAAATCACATGATAATATAGGTGTCTATTTGAGGCTGCTTGTATAGAGTAACAGTCTCAATTCTCTGCCATACACAAGACAGGGAGAAGACGATCTTCATGCTTATACCTAATGGTAGTTGAAGTCACTTCTTTGTCTTTTTGGAAACAAGTAGTTCAAATCTACATATGTTTGATTATGCATTGTGATGTTTGTTAACAGGGTTTTTTGTCAAATGTAGCAAACAACATGAAATTGAAAGCTTTGTGACTCAAAGCAGTGTCAGGGAGAATCATGATTCAGTTGATGTATAAATTATGAAGATTTTTCTGCCATGTAATATATTCAGACATCTGTAACATTTTTAGGTAGGAATGTATATTTCTGATGATAGCTCCTAACTGGTGCTGTTTTGCTGTGGTTTTTGAGCCCATAACTACATAAAAATAGAATCCTTAGTTTTGTTTTCACTCAAACAGTTAAGGCAAAGAAGTGAGTTTATTAAGTGGTTACAGGTGGGGAGAGAGGAGGAATTTATAACTGCTTGTCATTACCCAGGAAATACTATCCTGAATATATGTCTAGAAAAAAATAATAAAAAACCAAACCCTAAACCAAACTAACAAACAAAATACCCCACGCCACTTCAGGACAAAAATACCAGATTCAGGGTAGCAGATGTTAGACAGCCTACTACTTTCTAACTGCGAAGAATTAGTTTTCTTTTTCAATAGCTTGAGGGAGTTATCTTTTTTTTTTTTTCCCTAATCTTCTGGCATGCTTTTTTCCGCAGACCACACTGGTTTTGGTTTCTTTTTTTATTTATTTTTTACCCTGTCATGGAAATACCTTCTTTTATGTTTCATAACATTTTAACATCTGATTTTCCAAAACCAGATTAAATGCATTGCACTGTTAAGAAGTCACGCATCGCCAAATAAGTCTTAGGTTTGGGGGTTTTGTTGGCTCTGAGCATGCTAAACTGCCTTCAGAGCTATGCAAAAATTACTTTTCCTTCAACAGCGCTGGATCCCCCAAAGACACTGAACTTAAGTTTTGCCTTTGCATTAGAGCATCTGTATTTGAGATGACATCATGGATGTTGTATATGAAGGGGGCTCCTACAAATATCTTTGTGATTAACACTGCCTTTTCCAAGAAAAGGATGTGCAAAGCAAAGCTTTGCAGATGTTTCTTTTTGTAGTTTTTACGGAGGTGTTTGAGCTTTACCACTTCCCTACGGTATCATTTTATACCTCAAGGTGGGGAAACTGCGGCGATGTCTCTGTCATACCTGGTTAGCCAGCACGTGGGGAGCAGAGTGGGCGAAGTGGACAAATCCTCTGTGCCAGCACAACTTGGTGTACAGAACTCAAAAGAATTTTGTTCATGTCAGCATGTTCTGTAGTCTTCTGTGTGAAATCAGTGCTACGTGGAGAAGAAATTTATAGAATAAGTTAGAACTTGTCTGAATTGAATATTTAGCTAGCAGTCCGTGCTACAAAATCACTTTGTTTATCACAACTTTAATTCTTCCAGAACACTGTTTGGCAAAAAGCCCCAAGATGAGGTATTACTGTAGTAATAGCTCTTATTTTTAAAAGCATAATTTCTGTGCCTATTGATTTTTACACAGAAAAATGCTGCAATGGCATTAACTGCTGAAAGTCTTTTCAACAGGGGTTTGATTATTTAAGAATTGGAGGGGAAAAAAGGATTTTATAAACAGTCCACTGTGTCATTTTTAAGTGATTACCAAAATACAAAAGGAAGTTTCTTCACAATTGTTATTTTTGGGACAAGTGTATGATATGGGTGCATGTTTAGTTAGGAAAGTAGAGGGATTGATTTGTGAACTGGCTTACGTGAAATTTCCTCTTAACAGAGTGCATGTGCTAAATCACAGGAATTCAGCCACAAGATTTACTACTTTCATGGCTCCTATTTTCTCTAGCCCTAGTACTCAGTTTGGTAAGACGTATATGAACCTCACTTCAGTGCAGTTTGCTACTCTGCCAACATAATATTCGCAGTCCACAATCTTAGGTCACCTCTCCCATCCTTCCTCAAAATTTTTATATCAAATTTTTCTAGGTGCAATGCATGTATTTTTAAGAAATAAGTAATGTCCTCTTGCCATTATCAAATGCTATATTGTTCTCTGTTGAATCAGTTAACAGCATAGGCTTGGAAGATACCCAAGATAACTGGAGAAAGTGCGCGTGGGTGCACTGTGGATTTTGTACTGAGAGCAGATTTTTATCCATCCTTTTTTTTTTTTAACCAGGAATAGCTATTTTTTTTAAAAAAAACAGTGCTTATGAATGCAAATAAGAATGCTAGTAAGCCTGTGTGTGACTAAGTCAAATATGAATGAAGTTTCAGAAGATAAAAGTGACTCACTGGAGATTGGGGGCGGGGGGCAGTGCAGAAATTACAATAATCTTACAGAGAAAAAGAATTGTTAGAGAGGCTGAACTGTTTTGAAATGTACAAAAATGAGCAAATTCCAAGTGCTTAACAATTTCCATTTTCCTTATTGCAAGGTAGTATACTTAAGGGGTTTTAAGTATTTTTTTGTTATCGCAGTCAGAGGAGAGCGCAAAACTCGGAACAGAGACTGTGATAACTTTTTTAAGAATACGTCTATATATCAATTTGTTCCACAGAATCGAAAAAAGGATGATACTGTATCTAGTAACGTAAAGGAATTAGAGAGCACCAGTAGAGAAAATAATTTGAAACAAAATAATGAAAGTCCTGGAGAAGAAATAGTGCAACTAAAACATGATGGAGAACAAGAACATAATTCACGTTTTACTAAAGAGGTACTAAACTGTCTCTTACTGAACTGTTCATCGGCCTGTCTTGCAGCAGAAAGATATTTTGAGCCACAGACAGCAGAGCATGGGAAATTGAGCCAGTTCCTTTTGTTTGGAAGATTTAGATTTCTTTTTGGGTATAACAAATACATCCAACAAAAATAGAAGCGCCAAATTGTGTCAGATCTGTCTATAGCTGAGATAGTGAATTTTCTGGTATATGGATTTCCTAAATTTCTTTTTACTTAGCTTTATCTGTTACTATCATGATTGACTGGAAAATTACAAAATTATAGTCTTCACTTCTTTGGAAACAGAACCAATACTAATGCATCTTTAAATAATAATCATTGATCTGTTCATTGCTTAAGATATCTCAGTGTCGTTTTTGACAATCATTTAATACACCTGACTTTTTTGTTTGGTTGGCTATAGTGTTTTTGTTTGGTTGGCTATAGTGCCTCAGTTTATAGGAAGCAGGATAAAGCTGACACAACAATTTATACACGGAAGTAGGCAGTAGCTCTGGTTTGTGCTGTTTGGTCACTGGATTGATTTCTGTCTTGAAATAGTCTCAAACTCACTTGGCAGTGAGATACCTTGGTGTTTCTGGTACTAAAGTGACCTGAATGCTCAGCAAAAACAGTCAGACTGTGAAGAATAGATTACTGGAGTTGTTTCTACTAATCGTGTTCTGCTTATAGTTTAATATGTTTTTTAAATCTTGTGTAGAGGGGTTTTTTTTCTTCTTTTCTATCCATATTCTTTAATTTATCATCCTTTACTTTTCCTTTTCCTCACTCGTTTTTCCTTTTGTTTTCCTATTTTATATTTAATTTTTTTAAACATGTCTGATGGAGAATGGTATAAAATCAGATAATAATCTGTTGTTATACTTTAAAAACACTTCTTATTGAGAGTTAAGTATGCAAATCTTTTAAAGGAAAATTATGTATTACACTTACGTTGGTTATATCTAATCAGACCTTTAAAAGCAATGTTCAGGCTTCCCAGCAATATATTCCAGTAGCTGGAATCTCTGTTGGGGTTGTAAAGAGAAGGGGTAGCATGAAAAAATAGGCAGACTGCAATCCAAAGAGTTCAGATAAGTTCTGGAAGTTATTAAGCCGAGCCCTGCCCATTGGCTCTGGTATAAGTTTCAGGATAACTCTATTAACTTGAATGGTATTGATAAAAATTTCTTAAGTTATGTAATTCTGAGTTACTAAGTATACATGATGGCAAAATTTGTCTGTTAATAAAACTGTTTCCTGATACTGTATTTCTTATCTGCCACTTCGTATGTGTAACAGCTTTTTGTTTCATTATTTCGATTTTTTTTATAGCTGACAAAAACTGATGATCTTTTATCAGATGCACATGTTGTATCTGACTCAAAAGAACTGAGTAATGAAGAGAAAGCAGAAAAGGAAAAGAAAAATAAATTGGAAGAAATACATGATGGTGATATAAGGTAAAAATAAAACAAGATGTTCAGAGGCTATTTTAAACTTGCACATTGTATTTATTAGCTGAACGGACCAAGCAACTAATAAAATACTGCCATAAATACTTAAAGGTATATTTATATGTTTTTGAGTGGTTTACATATAGAGAAATCTGGTGAGAAACCTAACCACTGCAAGGGTTCAGTAAGAGGTGATGAGTTGGAGGGTGAACCAATGTTTATTTTCAAGTATTGCCCCAGTTATAAACAGAATATGTTCATAATCCTTGCTTTGGGATACAAAATGTGTTTAGTAATGTCAGCTCAAGCTTTCTATCAGTTTATTATGAAAGCTTCAGCCAGGGCTTCCATAGCGAGCTCTCTAGTGCTGCTATTTAGGAGCAGACTAAACAGCTTATTCTAGATCTCCTGCTTTTAACTTTTGTTTCCCTAGTTTGGAGCATTGCTGAATTAGAGCAATATTGTGTCTAGGATATTCCTCTTTAAGGATTCCTAACTGTAGTGTAAATTGCACTGCAGGTCCTAAGTGAGTTCTTACATTAGGTCATAACTTTCTCACAGCAGCCTTCAGCAAAATAGATATCTTGCAGTAGGAAACTGCATGAGTATATAAAGGAAAGGAATTCAGTTTCCAGAACTGTTTGGGGTTTTTTTAAGTCTAACTTTGCAAGGTAGAAGGGTTTCAAAATACCTGATTAATTTATATTACACAAACTTGCATGTTGCAACTTTTTTCTAGTAGCAGAAGAAAATTAAATTGTAACTCCTATACTTAGTGGTTAACACCTGAAATTAAGTTAGCGTGAGTTCTAAACACTGTGCTTTTTTTCACCAGCTTGCAGTGTGTGACCACAGTTACAAACCACAAACCCAAAACCAGCTCAGAGGAAAGTGAAGTAGTTAGTGCTCAAGAGCAAGAAGGGATTATGTCTTCCTTTGAATTAGCAGCACAGTCTTCAAAAGGAAATCAGGCAACAGCAGGTACGGAAAAGTTTGACTGAAGCACGGCTTACACAACACATCTGTAAAGCTTTATTTTGTTTTGGTTATGTCTTTTGATGCTCTGAAACCCTTGCAAATTGAAAGTGCTGAGCTAGTCTAGATGTCAAGCGTATGGTTTAATAACATAGAGAAAAATAGTTTCCCCGCGGACAATTACAGAAATTCCATTTTTCTGAGGTTTTAATGTAGAATTTGTGGTTGCATTTCATTAAGGGAATTGAATATCTATTGCCAGAAATTGAGTCATACTATAGTTGTTGGTTGGAGCAAATCCTTCCCTGTTCATCTTGTAGAACAGCATCTCAATCCTGGATATGTATAGATTGTTTACCCTTGCCTCCTTGCTAATGGATGGCCTCAGGTATGCCAAGATTGAGCAATCCTTGAGAGTTTCCAATATATCTAGTAGATTTTGAACTAGCAAGTAAAAGACCCCAGTTTGTTCATGTTTTCAGGAGCAACAAAAGATGAAGAAACAGAAAACACTAGATGATTGGTAAAACAACTGGTGGTGTACTACTTTGCAAGAAGAGAAGGCTGGAATAAAGCAAAATCGTTTGGGAAATTGAGGGGAAAAAAAAGAGGGGAGTGTGTAGGAGAGGAAGAAGATAAAATTTTAAACATTATTAGTATATTTGGTGATGGGAATGGTTATGTAAACCAAATGGTTCAATTTATGGATATAAAAGGTGACCTGGACCTTTGTAGTGCAGTCAGCAATCTGTTCTGTGACTTGATAATCAAAACCAGAACTTGTAAATACATTTTATAGTGCTCAGCAGAATAGAAAATGCTTAGTTAATCTGAGCTGGGGTATAAAAGTGGGTCTGGGAGTATCACGACTAGTTAAATTTTACTTTTTTTTTTCCTCTCTCTTTGCAATGTAACACATCAGCATTCATACCTCCATTGTTTGTTCCTTTGGTGTTCTACTAGTCATTTATAGGCCTGAGTAATGATCTTTCTTGAGAACAGCTGTGCTCTCCCCTGAAGTTGTGCTTATTGTGCTGATCAGATTTTAAGTCTTTACTTGTGTATCTTTAATTTGGTTCTGCTTGTATTTATTATGGCTTGAAGTGGTGGTTTTCAAGCTTATATTTATTATGGTCTGAAATCATGCCTTCTGTAACTTGTATTCTTATTTGTCTTGCTGTATGACTTGCAGTGAAAAGCTTGCCTTCTTCACCAGAGTCATCACTGTCGCCAGCTCCATCTACACAGACACAGCTCACAGAAGGATCACATTTCATGTGTGTATAGTTGCAGAGAAGTACGTGGTTTTTTCCCACCCCTCCTGCCATCTTCTTAATATTTTTCTAAGTATATGTATTCTAGTTATTCTTCCCAGAAACATTTGTAGACAATGCTTGGCGAGACAGAGTTCTCTGCAGTGTTGAATATAAACTAACCAGAAAACAAACCAATTACATGTATTGATTTGCTTGCAAGTAATGAATTCTCTATCTAAGTACAAAGAGAAAGGACTAATTGGCTTATCAAGCACATTCTGCACAACTGGCAAGATAATAGCCCTTTGAATTACATGAGAGACCTAAGCTGTTACAAAACAGAAACCCAGTTAAGGTGTGAGCATCAGTGCTCGGGTGCAAATGAACCTTGATGCTTCAGTCATTGTAATTGGCAACTAGAGCTCCATCTTAGTGCTGCTGCTTAGGAGGGAATGGTCTGATGGCCCAAGGAGTTTATGGTTTAAGACATGGATGACTCAGGCATGACAAACAGGAAGGGAAGAAAGGAGGATGGAAGAAATGTAACAATTGCAAAACTTTTTTTGCTCTTTCTATAGAGATAGGCCTACACAGCTTCTCTTCCCTTGTTATAGTAGGTGACTTCTTCTAGGAATCAAGTCAGAAAGCATGAGTTAGGCTAGATTTACATGTTCCGACCTGTAGTGTTACCTACTTAATGAATGGAAATATAAGTAAGTATATTTCTTTATGCAAGTATTAAAAGAAATTAATAGGATACCAGTGTGAATACTTCAGCACTTTACCAGCATTTAGATCAGTCCACATTTCTTTGTTGTCAGGAAGTACCTGTTTAAATAAGCGTTTAATGAAAGAATGAGCTGTGTTTCAATGGTAATTTTAAATGCCATAGCTAAGGTAACTTAAGAAAACTTTAAAATCGAGATGGTTTCAGTCATTTAGCATGAGGAGATCCAAAAATGCAGTTTTTCATTTACTGTCCCAATCTCCATTGCCAAGCTTTCATCTTAGCAAAATTAGATGACTTATTAATCACAGACACCTTTCTTGTATGAACTATGGGCAGGAAAATATTTATTCTTCACCAAAAAAAAAAGGAAATTATTTTCAACTTTTTATCCTTTTGAGAGAGTGGAAAATGCACTCTTCACATTCAGTACTGCCACCTGTGTTGCTGGCTTCCTAATGGATGTGGTCTGTCATGATTAGGTTTAGCTCAGACATTTGGACTTCTATTCAAAAGTTTTATTACAAAAATATTTTTAAAAGATAAGTGGGACTATTCAGATTTTTCTGAAAATAGTGATTTGTGTTAATGCTTTTCAGTTTCACCGTATAAATACACATGCATTTATCACACATCTTCTTTTTAAGTAGCACAAACATTACCCCATCCACTCAATTTCAGGTCAGCAGTGAAACTGAAACTACACTGCTGAGTTCCGTCCATAGCCACAGCACGCCTGTCTTGAAAGGGGAAGCAACCTGTAACTTCAACAGAAATTTACTACCGATTGCATTAAGTTGCTTTCCGCTTTTGTCATCAGCTCCAATGATCAGATCAGCAAATTGATTTTCTTAAGGGTTTATGCTAAACATGAGACTAGCAAAAGTGAAGCGCTCATATAGTGATGTTCTTTGTAACTTAATGCCCAAGCCTTGACATCCCACAGCGTGGTGTATCCTCCCAGGTAATGCTGCAGCTGTAACATTAAGTTACAGTTCAGTACGATTTTACAAATAGGCCTTAATCGCTTATGACAAAACGTTGCACCTGGGATGGCGCTGGTAAAACTAACGCTCTGCTTACCCATGCCTCACGGTAATGAAGGAAGGGTTCTAGAACTTCAAATATGTTTATTTTGGCTGTTCAGTATTTGAATTGAGTTGGAAAAAGCATTCAGTGGTGTGCAAATATATTCCACGTTTCTTTGCTGCCCTTGATGCCTCTGTTGGTTGTTTCCTAGGAGCTCCAAAACAAATTCATGCCATGGGCTGGGCCTAGTATACATAGGAGATGTGTGAAGCGGTATTTACTGCCCCTCACCTTCTGGGGCTGCTGTTCCAGTATTCCAGGGCTGTTGCGCTTTGCCGGAAGGCAGCTCTTTTTAACATGTGAGCGCTCAGTGTCTCTCAGATGCAAGAAATCCCGTGCAGCAGAGGGAACTTCGGAGCTCTGGGATCAGCCCTGTTCACATGCAACCAAATTTTTCAGGCAGCATCTGGAAAATGTGTGGTAGATTTCAGAGAATGGTGAGGTAATACCTATATTTGGCTTTTATGGTCAATTAGTAAACTGATACTCTTGGCACAATGCCAGGGGAATTTGACGTAGGAAATTGGTGGCATAGGATATTGTAGGACTAAGGAAAAACCCATTAACACAAAAGCTGCTTTCTTTGTCACGACTCTTGCTTTGCAGAGGCAAACCTGGATGTGCACCACTAACATTGTTGCATTCTAAGCATTACATTTACACTGAGTAATGGAGGGGTAATGAAATGTCATACAGGCACCTGAATCCAAAGCTCAGAAACGTTTTTACTAACAAACTCTTAAAAGCTATTTATGGAAGTCCTTTTAGCAATTGCCAAAATGCAGCAAGCTCTGGGTGGAGCACTTGAACTTCAGAACACCTTGCAGCTATGCTGCCATTACGGTGTAGCAACTGAATAATACTGCATCCCTTTTCAAACTGTGACTGTCGCTTGTAAGAGCAATTAGGGTCTTTGCTATTATTACCAGGTTTATATGAAGAACATTTGGATGTGGCCATGTACAACAGGATAAAACTCAGAATAAACAGGCTTTCATACAAAGTTCTGTGAATTTGAAAAACAAGCTTGCTTTTGCATCTTGCTGCCAAAGTATCTTGACAGCAGTATTATTCATCAGAAAAACTGATTTTGGAAAGAACTGATTTCTAAGATGCTTTATTATGTTCTACACCATTGATAAGACCTGCTAGGATGAGGTCAGAAATTCCTTGCTGTGTTTAATCCCAGGAGTTGCTTTATATGATACTCTGTTGTTGCTAAAATAGAGTAACTTAATCTATGTCTGTCTTTCAGCACTAATGGCTTCTGTTGAAACAATTCATGCCTGAGATGTATGGACCTGACCTATGAAAATATGAGAAGATATTGTACAGTATATTTTAAATCTATGAAATTCATAGTTCTGATGCTTTTGGCCACAGAGCATCATTTTATCACTTCCTGGAAAATGTTTATTCCAAGAGAGCTTTAAATGGCCCACATGTACACTCAACAACCTTCAGATTGTTCTCCTGATACCAGCTTGCTGCTATGATTTCTGTGCACATAAAATAAAGGCTTTTTTTCATGTGCAGCCTCCAGTCAGAACTTTTTTTGGTATTCTCCAGAATTTAATGTTCTTTTAATGATGGATCATATAAGTTTACTTTTTTGCTTCTTTTACACACATAACAGTTAATTTTACATATCACCACTAAACCTTGTTTCACACTTTTTCGACACTACAATTTATTGTTTTAACATTTTATTTGTAAAATTTTTATATATATATACATATAGATATATTTAAAATGTGCCATTTTTATTATTGCTTAGTAAAGTATGTCCTGTTTCTGCTGTAATTATTTCTTGGTCAGGTTGCAATGTCAGCAGTTACTGCCACACTTCTGTCAACATATACATTAATGTTAGTGGTTACTTTTTCTTAAATAAAATGGAGTGTAGGTATTTTGAGGTACCGGGCTTTTCCTTTGTTGGCTTAGGGTGTGTACAGCAATAAGCAGGTTTTCAATCCAGTACTTAGTTTGTGTACAAATGTAATTATGTTCATTGTGTATATACTATACAATGAGCACATACGATGTAAGTATAAGAAGCCACTTATTATTGTTCAAATACAAATGTTCATATCCCTTTTCTTTTATATCATATTAAATAAATGTTGATGTTCTTAAGGACTTGTATGGTTAGTATTTCTTCCAGCAAACAGATGTCACAGTGTGTTCCACCTTTTGATGTGGGGAATGCAACAATTCTTATCTCATTGGCAACATCACCTGTCAACCAGAGTATCAGTGACAGACTCTTAAGAGATTCCAGTCTTCCTCTACGGGAAAGAATAAGGCTGCAACACAGAGCAAAAAGACAACCTGACGCTGAGACGCAAGAAATACAGGTTCAGCTCCTGACTCTCCCAGACTTGTATTGTGATGTTGGAATAATCACTTAGTCATTCTGTGCCTCCATTCCCTGCCTGTTTACTTGAGAGGTAACAGCCTGTCTTACTGGGGTGTGGTGAGTAGCAATTCAGTATTTGCAAACGCTGCATGCCACGTTCAGTGGGGTTAAGGAGAGAAATAGGATGATTCCTTACGGCTTTGACATCTGCAAAGCATCTTCCAGAAACTGAAAGAAAACCTGAAATAATTTGTCAGGTGGCATCGTACTACAGATGTTGCTAGCTTCGCTTTTCATCGCACACAGCTGTCTGAATTTGCCTGAGACAAAAGAGGTTTAGAAGAGAATGATGAAAAATGAAAAGATTTAAGGGAAAGCTTTTGAATCTAGGATGTAAAGCTAAGAAATCTTTTAAAGGTTCAGGCAACTGCTGTGTGCTTCAGTGCATGTGTGTGCCATAAGTGGTAAGGCAAGTTTCACAAGAAGATGACTGCCAGCTCCTGTTGTGCTTTTTTATCATACAAATCATATCCTGTTCAGGTTAATATTGCTGTACTAGAGACTATATAATTCATTGTGCTTTTCTATAGAGGAGTGCCTGAGATTGACACACAGTTTGAAATTAACCCTTTGTCATTACCCTCTAAGTAGGAGTTTGTGTTCATTGTACTCTTCTGCCCCTCCCAGCTCTGCTGCCAGTTCTTCCTGGGGCTCTTTGCCACAAAGACACAGAGTATGCTGTGTGTCTACCTGTTGTTTTGCCGTTTGAAAAGTGAAGAAATAGGGAGCAGAATTTAGCAGCAGAGCTTGGAGGGTCATTGTGAAAGAGGTGGCTGAAGGAAAGAAGGTGAATTATGATGCAGGCAGACAGCATCCAGCTGAAAGTTTGACCCAATAGCCTTTCTTCTTTTTTTTTTTTTCTTTTTTTTTTGAACAGTAGCCCCAAATTAGTGCATTCTTCCATCCAAAACAGAAAGCAAAGAAGAGGAATGTGACAACCAGCAGAGGTTTAAGTTCAGCGGCATCACTGGAACACCTGGGGCAAAGCAAATAGGACACACCCTGTTCTCTCCCTAACCCTTCTGGAGAGAGCTGTTCAGCTGTCAAGCTTTGCAATCTTTCTGTCCTTGCTGCCAAGAAAAGAATTGCAACCAATAAAGGAAAGAATGACTAAGTGGTTTTTGGACATTTATAGTTCTTGTCTGTGTTTAAAGCAGGTGTCAGTTTGGTGTATCTGCAGAGTACGTGCAGTTTATACTGAAGCTGGGGGAGGGTGGGAGAACTAGCAAGTTTTTGCGGGTATAAACTGTTGGCAAAGACAGCAAACGTAAATGGTGCAGGAATGTAGTAATGCTCATAGACTATAATTTTACTTCCTGTGGGCACTTGCAGCAAAGACTTGCAGTTTCATTGGGTGCTCTTATTTTTTTGTGGCTTATGGAGAAAATGTATGGCTTTGTGTTACAGTCACAGAGCATCTACTGTCTCTTACCTCATCAGAATAACTCATCCCAGTGGTCATACTCCTGAGATACAGAAATATCAGAATACTGATACTGTCAGCCTTCGAACATCTATTTTAAGTTTGTATCTAGGATATTTTTATATTTCTGACCGGTTGCTCTATTGGCTATTGCACTGACACTTGTATATATGGAACGTGCTTTTTTTCAAAAGCAAGAGTCCTTAGGAATAATGCAACACATTCTCTACAGATGTTCATGCTTTTCAGAATCAATTATATCTATTTTTGTCTTTTGTTCACCATTTGCATTGTTCCAAGACTACTAGAGAATGTGATTCTTTTAAGTCCCTTAATAAAGTGACATTACTCAAAAAATTGTAGTTGGTGTCTGGCAGTTTTTGTATGTGGTGGACTGGCTCAAAGAGAAAGACCTCACCAGGCAGTTGAAACCCAAACCTTGATTATATTATTGCTGAAGGGGAAAAAGTAGTCTTCAGTTATTATTTCCTCATAAATCTCGCTGTCATAACATGAATCCACTAAGTTCTATTTTCAGGAAATCAGAAAAATTTTAAACAGTTCACTTCTATCTAAATCGCTGTAATTGGACAGTATGGGAAAGAATTATTGCCCATCCTATTGGATCCACTAGATGTAGTAACCAGGAGTACATACATGAAAAACCCTAGTGGATGACAGTAATAGAACTACTAAATTCTCTAGTACTTGGACTGGTGACTTAAGTTATATCCTGGTTGAGTAAAGCAGCAGAGTGAAAGATCTTTAATCAGTAGTGGTGCTGGGTGACTCTTGCCCCAAACTTCTCATTATATTGTAACAGTAAGGTGGGGTTTTTTTCTTTTCTAATAAGCCATAAATAGTACTCATTCAGATCACAGAAGTGGGTCATCATGTCTTTTCTGTGCAATACTTTTTTGTCCCTGTGATCCTGGATTTTGCTATGCTTATTTACTTAAGATATTCTACGGTGGTTTAATCTTATTTCAGTTTGAATCGTCAGTTAAAATGTTATTTTCCATCCTTTGAAAGTTGACATTTAAATGGCCAATGAACAAATTGCCTATACCTGGCATTAATAATATATCCGAAACAACTTAATTTAACTTTCTTAAGGATGCACGTGAAGATAACAAAGCAACATCTGGCCTTCATTTCTTCTGAAGAACATTATATATACTTGCTGTTATATCCTTGGAGCTGTTTAGCTTGTCCATATGGGAACACTGAAGAAGCTGCTGCGAAATAAAATGGAATATACTGGTGGCTGAGACCAAACGTCTGGCCCAAAATGCTGAAAGCAACTGCTTTCTGAACTTGACACGCACAACTTGTTACCCAGCTGTTCCAGATGTGTCAGTATTCAAATGTTACTTGTGGAATGAAGTTTTTTTGGGTTTTTTTGTGATGTTTCTTCATTCTGTTATATGCCAAGGAAAACGTTTTTAAGGTCTGTCTAAATATTACCTAGCTGCTGTTGTGAAACTGCAAGCAACTCTTAATTGTAGCTATGGGTGAGGAACATCACCACAGTGGTTGCTAATTGGCTCATGTAGCAGTCTTGCGATGGGTGTGTTTAAGAGCACTTGCTTAGGCTGGGTTAGGTTCTGTTTGGAATAAAAGAAACGGCTGTAAGCAAATGGTGCTGTTTCCAGTGGACTGCTGTAGAGTGTATCAGGACAAAACCAGATGTGATCTCATTAACTTCTTTATTGCTGAAACCAAACCTAAAATAAGGAATGAATTTTTTGTCAAATTCTATCCAGATCCCTGTTCTATGGAACAGGAATACTTCAAAGAATTTCAGACTAAAAATGGAAACACACTCTTCCTCTTTTGAAGGTGAAATGAGTACTGTTTAAAAAAAAAAACAAAAAAAAAAACAAGCAGCCCCTGCAGGTTTAACTTTGTACATAGAAGCAGCAAAAGACTTACTTATGGCCTAGAGAGCTGGTCAGTGAAAACTTTTCAGAAAAACACCTGATCCTCATCTGCTGTCATCTGGTAGTTTTCCTGAATGACAGTGAAGTGACTGGCACTGTCCAGGACTTTCTTGTGCAACTTTAAATGCACTCCAGCCCAACGTGTAAAATGTTCTGCGTTCCTTGTGTAGAGAAAAAAAATGTCTTATCCGTACAGCAGCTGTCTGTCCCTACAGAAGGAGCTGAATCCAGGCCACCAGTTTCTTGCTTTAAATTGCTAAACACTGCAGGTGCTTAGCATCTTGAAAGATCAAGCTCAAAGCATATCATCTGAGGCACCCAGCATTTCCAAGTAACTTGCATGTGAATCTGCCATATTTTCAGCAACAGATTCTATTTAGAAGAAAAAAGATAGTTTTTTTCAAAGTACTAGTCCTATTGCTAGAAATCAAATAGTATGTACAAACAAATACATAAGAATTTATTTGATAAAATTGTCATTAATTGACAAGAGTGCATTTGAAAGTGATTGGGAAAAAAGCTGCATAATTCAGCAGCTCTCAACTCAAAGATCACCTCTTCAGAATATGAATTTCTGCTGAGTCTTGACGCTGATTACATGTGTAGTTGACTGCTCTGTATTGTGCAACTTTCTTGTTGGTAAAATCCCAACTCACCAAGAACTGGGGCTGTTTCAGATGTTTTAGCTCTAAAGATGAATTTATTTTTTTTTAATTTTGTTTTATATTTTCACGCTCACACACCAGTCTTGGAA